AGCCGAAGCAAAAAAAGGAGTCACCTTCGTCCAGATGACGAAGCGAAGAAACCACTACTGTATGAGACAGAGCAAGCAAACATCTAGCTTTGTTCATGGACTCCTGTAATCACAGGAGTACCACAGCAGAAGTCAAGGATGAGAGCAGCCTGCAACAACATCTTCTACCCAAGGGTCTGAAAGTGTGGGGCAACAAAGCCAGAAAGGCGCGCTATAAAGAGATGGACCAGTAAACAGCAGAGTGTGTTTCAGTCCAGTCGACCCAAACAAAATGCAGTGATTCTGAATTGAAAAAAGCACAAATGGCACTCATGTTTGTGAGTGAGAAAAGGGATTGGCACGGTCAAGGCCCGTGCAGTCTACAATGGGAAACCTAAAGGGTGTACCATCAGAAAGAAGATGCCAGAAGTCCAACAGTTTCACTTGAGGGTTTGATGTTATCCAGTGTGTCGATGCATCTGAAGATAGGGATGTGATGTCCCTGGATGTTCCCATATGCGTTCATCCAAACCCCATGCCAAAAGTCAAACAAAGGTGAAGACAGGGTCCTCATGATCATTGAGGGACCCTTGCAGACTTACTTGTCGAAATTGATCCTGCACATATGCTCTTTCTGACATACAAAAAGGGACGACCAGTCCTATGTCGTTGTGAAAGAGCCATCTACGGAATGGTTTTGGCAGCATTACTCTGGTACAAGCTTTCAGGAGCGACCTCGACAAATTGGATTTGTGTTCAAACAATACGATCCTTGTGTGCCAACCGCATGATCGAGGTACCAACAAACAATCCGATTTCATGTTGATGACTAATGTCAAGCACAGAATGAAGTTGGTGAATAACCAAAACTCTGGAATGGTTCAACGCTAGGTATGGAACCTATGGAGCCGTGAAGGCAACCCGTGGTCCCAAGCATGACTACTTGGGGATGACGGTGGATTTGACCCAGGAAAGGTTGTGATTGAATGATAGATTATGTCAAGAAGATGATCTCAGAGTTTCCAGTGGACTTTGGGCAATGAAAAAGGTACCAAGTGCAGCTCCTGCTGACCTATTCACTCTGGTGATGGCACCATTCTGAATGACAAGAACAGGGGAACCTATCATACCTTTGCAGGCAAGCTTTGTTCTGTGCAAGCGTGCTCGACCAGATGTGACAGACTCTCACTACTGTGTTATGCACTCGTGTCAGAAGCCCAACAATCTGATGATTGGGACAAGTTGTCCAAGGCCTCAAGTTTTTGGATCAGACGGCGCAGGACAAGTTGAATCCTACACATTGATGACATACGCATCATCACTTGGTGGGTTGACGCATCATTTGCAGTCCATCCTGATTACCGTTCCATACAGGAGGAGTCATGTCCTTTGGAATGGTGCGGTGCTGTCGTGTCTGCGAAACAGAAATTAATTCGAGGAGCAGCACGGAAGCGGAATTGATTGGAGCTGACGATGTCAGTCGCCCATGTTGTGGGCAAAGTTGTTCCTTGAAGAGCGGGGATCGTTGTGAAGGAAAACATCCTATGCAGGACAAACAAAAGCAGATCATTCTTGCAGAGAATGCAAAGGCAGTTCGGGCAAAGAACTCGGGCTATCAAATTCGTTTCTTTTTATTCATGACCAGATGGAAAAGGCAACCTTATAGTTTGCGTGGAGATTTTTTCACGAAGCCCCTTCAGGGCAAGCTCTTCCATGAGCACAGGGCTTTCATCATGGGGCATCCACCCCTTGTTTGATTGCCTACTTTATTTTATTCGTTCCACGGTAGCCACTTAGGGCACCGTGCAGGAGTGTGTTGGAGGAAACATACCTGACACCTCTTTACTATTGACTCGTGTATTAATCATCTAGTCCGGTTCGCATGTAAATTGATCATGCAAGGAACCAAGGAAGTTTTAGGTCTAAAGTGCTACGGGGGTCCTTATATCCAATTCAATCACAAGAATTGCTATGCACCACCAGAAAATCCTCACTTTTGCTTTTCAGCTTAATCTAAAACCAAATTACTCCCCAAAAAGCTGCAGTATTACTAGCAAACAACAGGTACCGTGACGTTGAGATCAACCATCCGTAAGCACAGCCCCAACACTCTCACCTCGAGATCCATTGGAGACTGAACAAATCGAATCGAATCGAGTGAGCGCAAGGCCGCATCAATAAATCGAATGAATCCCACTGGAAGCCGAACTTACCCTTGTACTCCTACGTAACTTTGGCTTGCGTCTCGGACGCGTACACCGGTTGACGTATTTGGGACTGAGAGGAAATTCCAATACGTCATGCCTTTTAGACCCTGTTTTTTTTCGTTCAAAGTAGACAGCACTCATGTCCATGATACATCTGCCTCGCGAAGCCGTAGGGTCTGTCGACATCGGGTTAACACTCGTGACCTTCCACAAGTAAAGGTCTTCTATTTTGTCCCCATGTTTTTAACGGCATCACCAGAAGTAGTATAAGGTATGTCTCTGTAGTTCAAACCTGAGTTAACACCATTTTGACCTCGTCTCATCCACGTCCCAGTTCCAATGACCTTGAGCCAAACCCGATCGCCATATCGCACACATTTTCCTTTTCTGTAACAACACAAGCAGACAAGGTGGAGTGAGAAGGCGATAAAGCACACCGGCTTTCATAGTTCACGCCTTTTATCCAAAACTTACTTGGTCACGTGGATCCTCACCTTTTTTTCTGAGGTCATGGACAAGTACTATTCTAGCTAGCTAGCTAGCTAGCTAGCTAGCTAGCTAGCTAGCTAGCTAGCTAGCTAGCGCCCTTCATGAACTCGGAGCAAGCTTGGACAAGGCGCAGCATGTCCGCTGCCCGTAGTCGAGCGAAAACTACATGTACTAGCTAGTATCCTAGCTCGCTGGAGGCCGAGAATCAAACCTCGATAGTTCCATGATGTTGTTGACACTACATGTACTACTCGCCAGCCACCGGTACCGGTATTCTTGGCAGGCTGGGGGATACAGGATGCTGTTGGCTGGTTGTTTTACCCGCCATATGCATTGTCCAGGTGGGCCACCGGTAACACCGGATGCGGGAAACGCAGCAGGAGCCTCCCATTGCCCCGACAACACCTAGTAGGACCCATCAGTTGGCTGTAATCACGATTATCTACTGCACGTAATGTGCATCTGGCTTCCAGGTTCATCTCCTACTACTCTGCATGATGCGATCTATTGCTACTGTTATCCCGACCCATCAACTTGTGTCATGCAGGTCCATGCTTTTTCATGGGCCTAAGGATTCTCTACTAGCTGCCACTGAACAGGGTATCCCCACCTGCTTCTAAAGGTGCAAGGCACACGTCACCTCCAACTAGGATTGGTTACTCGCTTCTTCGAAAACATGCTAACACAGGATGCCCCGGCCAAAACGCAGTCAAATTTGTGACGATAGCTAGCAAGTTGGCTGCTAGAGCTAGCTAGAGTAAAGCTGTGACGTGATGGCTTGCCGAATGAATCGAGAAAGCTTTTGAGAACATCCACCATGCTGCCTCCACCTTCTCCTTTCCGCAGCTCTTCCATCTTCCATGCAGCCATGTGGTCATCATCTATCTTTTGCTGTCGCAAGCAAGTCCGGCACACCGGACTTGCCCTCCATGCCACCATCCAGCCAAACCAAAAAATCCAGCGGCATGTGGGACATGCGTCCACGGTCATTACAATACCAGGTGAGTACTCCTTGTTGGCCGTGACTTCCAACTGTGGTTGAAACTCTCTCCACCCAGGCGTGAATTCTGGTACATGTGCCAGATGGAAAACAGTGACGCTGCCAATGAAGTGGGACAAATCCGATGTTAAGCAGTAGTAACGACATTGGAAAGGAGAGCAGTAAAAAGGGTTGAAGGGAGTCGTCAACAGTGGTAAAAGAACCCCAGGCTTTCAAAACAATGTTGGCCGCTGGCTGTCACCTCTTGGAACACTCGAACATGCAGTCATCTTGCCTCGTGTGAATGGACATTGAGTGGTTAAATCCAGGCTAGTACAGTTGTTTTCTCACCGTCTGTTTCTGGAAGCCAATAAGGCCTGCCAAAGCAGCAAATCCAGTCAAATCAAAGGTAAAATTTTGGTATTGCTGAATTGTTCTGACTAATTCTGCTTTTACTGGAAAATTGCCTTTTCGATGGTCACAAAAATTGGAAAAAGTAGATTTATTGTGTCATCACTGCTCGTATCGCAGCACAAGCGGCATCATCATGTTAATTAAAAATGTATGCCTTTAGTCATTGGTGTTGTAGGTAAGATTAAAGGGTAACAGCCCCTTTTACTGAATCTTGGATACTGTGCACTTTGCGTTAATTAAAGTTTCTGAGAGAATTAGACTTCTCTTTGTGGAGCAAAAAGTGTCCAAGAGTCATATAATAAGTAATGGCGGTATTGCCTACCGTAATATTGACCATCTGGTTGGAGGAGAAAACAGCCAAGATCCCACCAACCAAGACCAAGGTTGGTCTACTAGTAGCTAGCTATTTCCATTCGGGCACATCCCTTTGGCTTGTGGCTATTTGAATTCCCAGCAAAGCCAGCAGCAGAGCCTTGCACGCCCTGCAATCAAAGAGCAGTCGGCGAAGTGAAACTACAGTTTTTAATACTACCAAAGGATCAATCCAGCACAAGCTATAGCTAGCAACCCAAGCAAAAGCCAACCAACCCAACCCAAGCAAAAGCAAGATGAACTTTCTTTGGTCGAATCCTCCTCCTGAGGAAGAAGAAGAGATCGCCGTGCCCGGCCCCGACGATGCCGCGGTCCCTCTCGATGCCCCTACGGTCCCCGAGCCGCCCGTTTTTGATGCGTTTCGATCTCAGCTACTGCAGTCCACGAGGACTGGTTTGGTGGATAGTGCCATGATGGAAGTTCCCTTGGCGAGTGGCGACGATCATGACGACGACGACGACGACGACGACAGTGCTAAAGGGGATGACCGCTTTGATGACCCCGAAAACAGTGATGATGATGGGTGGAGTGAATCCCCCAGCAACTTTTCTCTCAGCAGCATGGACATTGAACGAAACCTTCGTAACAATGCCATGCAGTACATGGCTATGGAGTACATTTACAGCAGCATGTACGGGGCAGTGTACAGTGTCTGTACGTGGCCTCGACTCCTGCTCAGCTATTTACTAGGAGTACTGGGCTTTATTGACAAGAAGACCGGAGATGGCGATACGGGGGGAGGACCCGTGCCACAAAAAGAGAGCACTCCGATGCAGACCATGGCGGTATCCGCGTCGCAATCGGCGGCCATTGGAGTATCCAGTGGAGTCATGGCGGCCACCAGTCCGGCTGCTGCCGGAGCATCCTCTCTCGCCGCTGCTGTGTCTACCGTTTCCTCCCTATCGACGCCGGCCCAGATTGGGATTGCCGTGGCAGCCGCTGCCACTCTGGCGGCTACGACGGCGGGCATTGCGGCCCTCGCCGCCAGCAATAGCAACGCCTGCAGCTCCACCGACATGAAACAAGGGGTCGTGCAAATGGCGTTTGCTTCCAACAGTACTACTGGCAGTGACACAACGACTCTCCTATTAGAGAACCAACAAGACTTGGAAGATATCTTTGCCCAAGTCTACAACAATGTCACGGCAAATGCGACAGCCGATTCCATCGTTGATCGATGCGACAGTCCCTACATTCCAACCGATGGAGTCAAGTTGATGCAGGTCGAGTCCATTGACGGGGAAAATTTTACCAATACCTATTGGGTCACGGACGTTCAGTGCAATGGATGTTCCGATAAAGACCCCCTTTTTGGCACCAACAACGGCGACGACAGCAGTATCCCCATGGATGACGCATTATTCAATGATTTTGTGGACGAGTTCACACAAGCAATACAACCCGTGTTGGTCCCAGAGACGAGTCAAAACGCCGATACAACAAACGGCCAAATTCCTGGTGGCGTCGAGCAGCAAGAACCACCACCAGTCACCATTCCATTTGTAGCGTTGGTGGATCCCGTCACGGGAGAGACACTTCCAGAGCAACCACGGCGAACATCAGATACCATTGAATTGTTGCCAGAACTGGATACTGTTTGGAATGGAAATAATCCAGAGCAAGACCGACTCGTTGTACCAGGGCCAAGCACTGTAGCGGCAACACCTGCTGCTTCGACTCCTGCTGATGCGTCGACTCCTGATGCAACGACTCCTGCATCGACATTGTCAAACCCTACAGCCAATGCTCAGCCGGGGGCAGTACCTGATCAGCCGGGGGCAGCACCCGGTCCACCGGGACCAACGTCTGGTGCAGACACCCCTCCTGGAACACCAGCTACACCCGATGGCCCTGCCCAAGACCAAAACACTCCTGCCGCAAGTGTTCCATCAGTAATGGCGTCAAGTCCCAATGCAGCGCCTTCTATTGTAATAGCTGGCCCGCCCAATCAGGGACCATCGTCGTCAATGGCTAGTCCAACAACCATTGCTACCCAGCCGGGTTTAGCTGCCGCCAATCCTACTGTTGTTGTTGGCAATCCCAGTGGAAATGGCGCCAACTTGCCACCACCTGCAGCCACGAGTTCTTCTTTTCCCTCCAGCAATCCCGATCAAGTTTCAGGCAGTGATAACCAACAACAACAGCCAGCAGGAGAACCAAGTCTCCAAACCAACCCACTGCCAACATCATCAGGGAATGGCAACCCGGGAAAATCCCCATCTGTGGTGCCTCCTCCTAATGCTGGTCGGCCCAACATGGCACCCTCCAGAAACCAAGATACCACCAATTCGGTGCCCGGTACTCCTGGGTTTCCTACTGGTAGCATCGGTGGTTCCCAACCCCAATCACCAGGTCAAATTCCTTCCTCCTCTTCTGTACCGGGATTGCCATCTACTCCAGCAAGACCCAGCGCTGATATGCAATCACCCGCAGGAATCCTCTCAAGTGGGGCACCTAATCTGCCGTCTGCAATTGTCATTGTGTATTCTGGACCATCTCCTGCAAATGATGCACCAAACGGCAACCCCCAATCTTCACCAACCTCTGTTTCGGCAGCAGTTGTTTCACCACCAGCCTTCTTGTCAACCACTACATCAACAGTTCCAACAATTGCTCCCACAAGAGCAACGCTTTCCGCAGAGACATGCGCTGCCCTGCAAATGTTTGGATCCCATGCATCATCGGGAGCTTGTAGCAACATCAATAATGGAGGCAGCAGCAGTCCAAACTCTTTGTCTCCCAATACACTTATTCCAGCTCCTACCAATCCTACAGTGCAACCACAAAATACACCACAAAAAACACTTGCACCAGCTACAATAAAAGCTTTGAACGAATATACCCAGAGAGCCGATACTCCAGTACCAACCAGGTTGACCCAATCAGAACCCTCATCTATCGCTGCGAGCAGAACAACTACAAACCCAACAGCAATGCCCGTAACAGATGCTCCTACACCTGAACCAACCCCTGAACCCACAGAAACTCCCACTTTAGCACCCACAGAAGAACCAACAAATAACCCAACCAATAGCCCCACAAATGAACCAACAACTCAGCCCACTGAAGACCCAACACCAATCCCAACCATAGACCCCACAAATTTCCCAACAAGCAATCCCACACCTGCTCCCACAAATCAGCCTGTCACTACCCCAACCCCCGCACCAACAGGAAGCCCCTCCTCGGGGCCAGTGCAAGAGGACTACTTCATCACCTTCACAGGGCCAACCACTGGGTGGACAGACCAGGAAATGATTGATGGCTTTGAGGAGGCATACGGCTCCCTCCCAAACACCGAATCTACCATTGACAGCATAGTTGTTGGCCAACCGGTTCCTACCGGGCATCAGTTGTGGCAACTGGGTTTACGCGGATGGTGGCTTCTACCTGGAATTCACTGTGTCCTCCAGTCCTGGGTCATTGGATGAGATCCTGACTGCCTCTGAGACGGAGTTCCTGCAGCAGTACAACCAGGAGATCCAGAGCACGGGTGCTGTTGCCTCAACTCTCAGACAGGAAGTGCCCCATCAGGCAGCATCTTTAATTCTTCCCTTTCCTTCAGTTGCGCCATCACAAGGTTTGGATTGGATTTCTGGGTTTATGCTGGTTGATGCTGATTCAGGGGTTGATATTGGTGAAATTACAGACGGTAGTGTCATTGACCTTGGTGATGTGTACGGGTCTTCAGTACAAGATCGAAAGAAGAAAGTCCGACATCTTCAAACTGTTACTAACCCAACAAATTTGAACATTAGGGTTGTCTCGAACCCATCAACCCTGGACAGTGTCGACTTTTTCGAAAATGGCAACTTCACACGAACTGAAACTTCAGCCCCTTATGCTCTTGCAGGGAAGACTCCCGTCGGAAACTACCTTGCAAGCCGCACATTGTCAACTGTAGCTTCATCTCTTCTCCTCAAGGCAGTACCCACTCTTAATGGCGTTGTGGGAACACCTCTCGAAATCACCGTCTCTGTTGTGTCTGCCATCACAAACACCCCAACCAGCCCCAGTGCCGGCCAGTCTCCTACAGGAAATCCTACCAAAGCGCCTACAAAGGCCCCAACGGCTCCTACAAAAGCACCTTCACAAGCACCCATTATGCCGGGAGCACCCACAAAAGCACCAACTGTGGCTCCAGCTCCAACTAAGGCTCCCACGAAAGCACCAACGGAGACACCTACAAAAGCTCCAACTGTGGCTCCCACAAAAGCACCTTCACAACCACCCATTATGCCGGGAGCACCCACAAAAGCACCAACTGTGCTCCAGCTCCAACTAAGGCTCCACGAAAGCACCAACGGAGGCACCTACAAAAGCTCCAACTGTGGCTCCACAAAAGCACCTTCACAAGCACCCATTATGCCGGGAGCACCCACAAAAGCACCAACTGTGGCTCCAGCTCAACTAAGGCTCCCACGAAAGCACCAACGGAGACACCCACGAAAGCACCAACCGAAACACCTACAAAAGCTCCAACGAAGGCTCCAACGAGATCACGACACAGGCACCGATTACGCGGGAGCACCACAAAAGCCCTACAAAAGCCCTACAAAAGCACCAACTGTGGCTCCAGCTCAACTAAGGCTCCCACGAAATCACCATCGCAAGCACCAACTGTGGCTCCAGCTCCAACTAAGGCTCCAACAAAATCACCGACACAGGCACCGATTATGCCAGGAGCACCCACAAAAGCCCCTTCGAAGGCACCTACAAAAGCACCTACTGTGGCTCCAGCACCAACTAAGGCCCCACCAAATCACCGACACAAGCACCAACTCGGGCTCCCACAAAAGCACCTACAAAACACCAACAGTGGCTCGGCTCCAACTAAGGTCCCAACAAAATCACGACAAAGCACCAACTCGGCTCCCACAAAAGCACCTACAAGCACCAACGTGGCTCCGGCTCCAACTAACGCCCCAACAAAAGCACCGACACAAGCACCCATTATTGCAGGAGCACCTACGAGAGCACCAACAAAGGCTCCCACAAAAGCACCTACCGTGGCTCCAGCACCTACCAAGGCACCTACCAAGGCACCTACTAAAAAACCGACCAAAGCACCTACTAAAGCTCCACCAAAGCCCCCACAGCACCCACAAAAGCACCTTCCAAAGCACCAACAAAGCTCCCACCAAAGCCCCAACCAAGGCACCACAAGGCACCACCAAAGCCCTATAAAGCTCTACAAGGCAACAAAGCACCAACAAAGCACCTACCAAGGCACCTACAAAAGCCCCAACCAAAGCACCTACCAAGGCCCACAAAGCACCTACCAAGGCACCCACAAAGCACCAACCAAGCACCCACCAAAGCCCAACCAAGGCACCCACAAAGCACCAACCAAGCACAACAAGCACCCACCAAAGCACCACCAAAGCCCCAACCAACACCTACTAAAGCCCAACCAAAGCTCCAACTAAGGCACCACTAAACCCAACCAAGGCTCCTACCAAGGCACCACAAAGCACCTACCAAGGCACCACTAAAGCCCCAACCAAAGCACCTGCCAAGGCACCCACCAAAGCCCCAACCAAGCCCAACAAGGCACCACTCAAGCCCCAACCAAGGCTCCTACCAAGGCGCACTAAAGCCCCAACAAGGCTCCCACCAAAGCCCCAACCAGGCCCTACCAAGGCACCACCAAAGCCCACCAAGGCTCCAACTAAGGCACCACTAAAGCCCCAACAAGGCTCCTACCAAGGCACCCACCAAGGCACCACAAAGGCACCTACTAAAGCACCCACAAAGCTCCACCAAAGCTCCCACCAAGGCACCCACCAAGGTGCCAACATCTGTCCCCACCTGTTGCAGCTCCCACCCATGGTAAGTAAACCCTTCTTCTCTCTGCTTGTTTACTTCTGCTTCTGCTCCAGCTAATGGTTGTCAATGATTTCTGTGCTGCTGAAGTCTTTGGTGACAAGACTACCTTGGGTACAGCATTAGAACAGGGTGACTACTCACCAACAGGTCCCTATGGTAAGGAGGAAATGATGCAATTTTTACTAATCCAAGGGGTAAACAACTCAACCTTTTCAATTTTCCAAAGGCCCAATTACATCATGGGACGTGACAGCAGTTAAAAACTTTGGTAAGTGGACATGACTCTTTTCCTGGTCTGATCTCATGATGCCTTTGGGAACTCATTAATGCCAATGGTCATTTCGTGATGTGGATTACTCTGGCCTTCAGATTCCATAATTAGTAGTCTTTCAAATGTGGCCACATTCAATGGTGATGTGAGCCAGTGGGATGTCAGTGGAGTTACTTCCATGAACTCTGCCTTTTTGAGTAAGGACAAACATGATGCATGTCACCAAGATTTTTAGTGCGTCGTTGCTAACACTTTTGGTTGTGCAACAGATGCTGCTGCTTTCAATGTGCCCCTGACCGACTGGGTTGTTTCAGGTGTTACTAACATGGCATCCATGTTTGAGAGTTCAGGCTTCAACGCTGATGTTTCCACTTGGTAAGAAATTATGCTGCTCAAAAACAGAATTCCACAATTATTGTTGTCTCATACCATGCTCCACAACTATTTGTAGGGTCACAAGCTCAGTCAACAACATGGTAAGCTTGACTTGGACCTGTGGACTTTCCCATTGTGTCACCGTGCATGCATGGACTCTTTATCCTAACTTGATTTGTACAACTGGACAGGATTTCTTGTTCAAGAGTAGGTTACCTGCGTATGCCTTGTTGCCTTCTTTTCGAATATGCATGTTTGCTGACTGGCTCCAATTGCCTTCTCTTGAAGACAATGGTGCCTTCAACCAACCCGTCAACGGCTGGGACACTTCCAAGGTCACAACCATGGACTCCTTGTTCTTGGCCAATGTAAAGTTCAACCAACCTGTCGTGAGTCGGTCGCGTCAAATTCTCTATGATACTACAATGACACAGGTACCGTTACTCACCCTCATTTCTGACGTTTTGCGATCTTGTGAAACAACCTCTGTAGAACGATTGGGATGTGTCTTCTGTAACACTCATGGATGTAAGCATTCTCCTCCGCCACTGCAAGTCGTTTTGGTGCAAAGAGCTTTCAATAACACAATGTTGCTGCTCTTGTTTCTGGTTCGAATTTATCAGAGACTTTTCCGAGGTAAGAACACTGGTTTCTTTTTCTGATTTTTCAGACGAAACAACTTGCACTCAACCTGATTGGTTCAAAATGGCAGGCTGTACAGTTTTCAACCAGCCCCTGAGCAATTGGGATGTGTCCAAAGCAAATAATATGAGGCGAATGGTGAGCGCACGCAGTGTAATTGCTTGACAGCATGAGAGGCTTTTTGTTGGACCTGTTATACTTACCTTGCACTATACTATGTGTAGTTCCGGACGTCGGCCTTCAACCAGAACATCAACAACTGGGATGTGTCCAGCAACACTGAATTTACATCCATGTTTTATGAGGCTACTGCCTACAACCAGCCCCTCAACAACTGGGATACAAGCATTGGGAAAAAGTTTGACATCATGTTCTTTGGTGCATCACTCTTCAACCAGAACGTCGCCACATGGTTTGTTTTCCGTGCGGTGTGTGATTGTTGCATCAGTTGCCTGAGTGAGCTAATGTATGTCCGCATCTGTGTTTCTTATTTATTATTTTGCGCAGGGATGTTGGTGCCGCGACAACCTTTAGTGAAATGTTTAGTGGAGCTACTGTGTTTGGCTACGATCTTTGTGCTTGGGGTGACAAGATAACAGGAACTCCTACCATCACATCAATGTTCGCAAGTACTGCGTGTACTGAAGCTGCGACTCCGGTAGACTTGGGGGCAACTCCAAAAGGCCCCTTCTGTGAAGTTTGTACTCCCTAGGAGAATCCCAACAATTTGGCAAAACGAGAGGCAGAACAAGGGGCCAGGTTCTCCAGAATTGAGGAGAGCCAACGGAGAACTGATCTTGAGGGATGTATGATTCGAATCAATCCTTTCGAAGCCTGAGATTATTGCTATTGCATGGCCTATCTGTTTAAACCGAACAGTGCAACGACGAGCCAGTAGCTGCTTGCGGCGACTGATGCTCCGTGGCGGCATGCCTGGATGGGAGGATGCAACGAGGGTGTGATGACTTTTGCGTGCTCCATCTCAAGACCATGCAACGCAACTTCACACAGAGCACCTCTGTATCGTCGTCCTCTCAACACAACTTGCTTGGTGACTAAAATCGCTGTCAAGAGTAATCCATTGTGGTTTCGAATGCTTTTATCCTTTAGTCTACTTTCTATTCTTCGCAGCAATCTCAGTCAGCCAGCCAGAAGATCGTGAACCCCAGACACCCTACTTCTTGGCAAAGAACGAAGTAATGGATTTCGACTTTTTGTTTGAAGCACCCGAGCCTTTCGAGGCACTTCGCTTGACAGTATTCGGCTTTCCATGCTTGTTGCTGCCCCCCTGAGCCGACTTGGCGCTACTGCTCTTGCTCTTCTCCGTCGACTGGTTGGCGTTCTTCGTGTCTGTCGTCGAAGCCTTGGCAGCAACTCTGAAGAAGGACTTGATTGTCTTTCGCTCGGTGGTGGCCCAGTCCCGGCTCTTGGCGCAGATGGGGGACAGCGCTTCGTCCGTGAACGCCTTCCCTGCCTTTCCACGTTCCTTGTTGACTTGGGCAAGCTCGGCTTGCAGTTTCTCAAGTGCCTCACCCCCGGGAGGAAACCGGACACCAACAATGCGACGGCCTTTGATCGTAGCACGCATAATCTTCAACGCGCGTTCCTTTTCGGATCGCAGCCGAACCGTCTTTTCGAGCAAAGGTAAGACATGTAGAACCGGTCCAGTCACCAATCGCTCTTGGAGACGCCGAGGAGCCAAACCGTTCTGATGAATGTCATAGTCCGATTCCTCAAAGGCCCGTTCCCACACGGACGACACCCGCGAGCTTGCCTGCAGGACCATGTCCACGGCCGACACGGCCGTTCCCATGTGCTGCTTGAGCTCCTTACTGCCAAGGATCAGTCGGTACTTGCGAAGAAGATCGTGCGAGGACATGTCAGTCAGATTGGTACCCGTGTTTGGTCTAGAAATTCGCATCCAACCATACGGATCAAAACTGTCAGCTTCTGCCTCGGTCTCAAAGGAGGAACGATCGAATTTGCGTCGTGCAAATAGAATCAGCTTGCGCCCCGCAATCTGGTTTCGGGATTCGTAAAAGCCCGGCATGGCAACGTTTGTCTGACCCGTGGAGAGCCAACCATCGTCGTCGTCGTCCTCTTCGTCGTCATCGTCCACATCAATGACTTCCTCGTCGGTCTCTTTCTTTTCGTCCGTCTCTTTCTTTTTGTCGTCGTTATCGGGCCACTTTTTCGCCTCGTCCACTGCCATTTGACAAACCATCTCCAAAGGAATGCCACGATCCAGCACCAGTTCCGTCAGTTTGGTCATGGCACCACTGGCAGGATCCACGGCGAGATCGTGTTCACGTTTTACTTCAATAGTCGTGGCACGGATATCTTCGGCCGTGCCTTCGTATTCTCCGGTAGATTTCGCCTCGTGAATGACATCCTCCAAGGTGGACATGAAGAGCTTGAACACCAAGGTTTGTCGACGGACCGTCAACCCCGCCAATCGGTTGAGAAAGATTCGAACATCGGCTTTGCCCCGTGCCTCTCGATCGAGACCAATGATATCCAATTCATCCGCCGACATGGCCAAGAGCATGGAATGCTTTCGCGCGACCGGGAGCCCCTCCTCTGCGGGCAATAATGCCAGAACAAACTCGTCCAAGATTTCTCGGGCATTCCGCGACGGCAAGGCACTCAACACCGTCGCTTGTGGTCCACTACTGCTCTGTTGCAGTTGCTGCTGTTGTTGTCGCACTTGTTCTTCCAATTGATGATCTTCCACCGCGGCATAGAATCGTTTCAATGCTCGTTTGCCAAAGAGACTGTCCAAATCAAATTCTGACAAGGAACTCCCGGTCGCAGCGCGTCGATCACCCTTGGTGAGTGCCCCCAAACTGGCCATGCGTCGACTGACGGCCGCGGCAAATCGTCGTTCGCCACCCAAATTGGTCACCACCAATTGATAAATGGGTGCCGAGACTTGTCCACTGCGATGACTGCGTCCCAATTGTTGGACCGCCTTGTCGGCCGACCAAGGCAATTCCAGTGTGTAATGAATGCGACGACGATGACACCCCTTGCTATACGACGCGGCATGCAAGGAAATGCCCGTCGAAGCGGCATCACTGATAATGGCGACCGATTTGGTGCCATCCATGAACAGTCGTCGTTCCACGAGATTGACGCGTTCTTCATTTTTGGTGCCGTCCGTCATGCGTTTGGCATAGACAAATCTGTTTTTGTGGTTGCGCACCATGCGTCCGGGTCGTCCCGTCATTTCGGCCACGCAATCGACCCCTCCCAAGCGATCAATCAAATCATCCAACGGATTGGGTGGCAACTTGATTTGTTGCACTTCCTCGACGAGCGTTTGTTGCAGTTGCACCAGTGCCGGAATGGGTTCGGGTGGTGGCAAAGCTTGAATGCGCTCAATTTCGGCTTGAATGCGGGCGTATTCTGGGTCTTGTTGGGACGATGGCAATTTGGGGAGTTGTGGTGGCGGCGGTTGGACGGGAAAATGTGTCTGTACAAAGTTGGTCATGACAGCGGCAACGGTGGAGAACAGAGACGGATAGACGGTATCGTCTTGTAGTAGTTTGTTGTTTTTCCTTTTATTGCCAGTGGTGTTGCCACCAAGCAATAGTGTTTGCAGATTGGCATCTCCGGTGGACTGCAATCCAATAACGACACAATGATTGTATTGTTGCATTTGCTGTAGAGCATGCTCTGCCAAACGTGGGACTTTGGCACAAATGGCCAATTCCTTGAAGAATCGTTGATGGGCGGACCAATAAATGCGCCAGACCATGCTGTTGGCGCTGGTGGTGCCAATCGTATCGAGTGCTTGTTTTAGGAGTTCTCGACAATGATTCCACCATTGGACGGCTTGATCATAGACACGCTCTTGTTCGGGTGCCAGATCGATTTGAAAGGTTTGGAATTCGGCGCCTTCCCAGGACAGCGTCCGTGCCAGAAAGGATCCTTGTTGTTTGAGTTCTAGCGCCAACAATTCGAGTGATGCCAGTCCTCGGGATTCGAGGGATTGCCGAAACGATGCAAAATTGGCAAAATAGTGGAAGTGTCGTTCCGTGTCGGCGTGAATGCCCCACAATCCCAGTCGCTCCGCGTAAGCCAATTGTGCGAGATCACTGACACCGGTGGCACTGACATAGACAATGCGTGCTTTGGGAAGTCGTCGTTGGAGCTGCAGTACGAGTTGTGCCGTTTTGGTATTGTCGGATAAGTTTTTGGCCTTGTGGGCTTCGTCAAAGATGATCACGCCACTGTAGGATTGTTCGAGTGCGGTTCTGTCCGTCAAATGATTGGCATTATTTGTCTGACAACACCATTGAATGATTTGTTCGATGCGCTTGTCACTAATGAGTAGTTGGTATGTCAAGAATAGCACTCCCTTTTGATCTTTGGATCCCAATCCCAATTGTTTCTTATCGAGTAAGTCAGTTCCATCGTGAACATCCACATTGGTGACTCCCACATCTTGTAAATCACGTCGCGCATCTTGGACCAATTCCCGACTGACAGACAACCAAATGTGTCGTTTGTTGTGATTGCGACTCATACTATCGAGTAACAGTGCGGCGCATTGGCGGCCTTTGCCAATTCCAGCTCCATCTAAGTAAAGTATAGTAAAGTATAGGAAAGTAAATAGTGAGCACAATCGAGAAAAATAACGCTTTGTCATTGCCACACAAAATGCTGTATGCCATGAGACGCACCACCTAGAAAGAATCCCGCTCGTACAGTCCCACCACTAAGCAATCGACAATGACGCTGAATGCCACACAAGACGCCTTCCAATTGGAGCGGCGAGAGCCGGCCTTGTTGCGCCAATGACAAAATGGCATCCGTGGCTCCCTCTTGAATGGGAGGCGCCACGACACTGGCCAACAAGGCCGATTCACAGGCGGCCGATGTATGCGATGCAAGGGGAGTAGTATTTTCCTTGTCGTCATTGTCATTGTCATCCAACACAATCACATTTTGACTATTGGCATTCGCAGCAAATTGGTGACACGCACGGACAATGACAGGTGGAAGGGCCGTCGGCTGGTAAGCACCAAATGTGTCGATGGACGTGTGCTCGGATTCATCTTCTGCTTTGGGCGTCGGCTTGTTCTGGTCCGTCTTACTACTATTGTCAGCAGCTGCGGCAGTGCCCGTCGTGCTACTCATCTTGACTTTGACTTGATAGGATAGGATAGAGATACTATTGTTAGCTAGACAGCTTAAGGATCCATGGATGATCCTTTGTGTGTTTTGTGTGCTGGCCGGTGGTTTTTGGGCTTTTGGTTTTCTGGTGGTCCGAAAAATGCTGCCGATGGGTGCGATCCTAATGCTTTGAAACGCGTTCTAAAGCCCAATGAGCTGTTTGAAGATCTGTTCTGAGGATGATAGTTTCCACGGCTGAATCGAATCAGTGGGGTGCACGGGCCAGACTTGGAGTGGATATATCTCCGCCAGATTTTCATAAGGAGGAGTATGGATCAGGATACAAAATTTTAAAATAAAAGGCTTATTAGCACGGGATAATTTGGAGACATCTTTTGCTCACCACATTTGTCCTAACTATTAATAAATAGCAAGAAGACTTAGAACGAAAGTCAGCACGAACGAAAAAGTGAGTTAGTGATCAAACTACATGCCTCCCTTTTCTTTAAGATACGTCTACGTTTCCTGCAATACTGGGGGAAATTAGCAGCATCACAAACACTGCTACCTGAACTGAACTTATATATATCTTAGTTAGCTCAGGATCCATCACCAGGGTAGTCTAATGTAGTATTTTGATGCTCTGATCTGGAAGGGAGTGTTATGGAACATTTATACAGTACTCTGCTTGCCACTCTACCTACTCAGCACACACCAAAGGTGAAGAGAGGAAAGAAAATTGCTTGGCATTTGGCACCTGTTTGTAATGCATTTCGTTGGAGAAAGTGTCATTGTATCATCTCTCAATCTTTCATGGGCATGCCCAAGGGAGAGTACTCACTGGGTATCTTAGCTCTAGCTAGCTAGCTAGTATGTAGTGCAGATCTAATATTGTCTCCAGTAGATCTGTCTTAGCATTTCAGCAAATCTCAGAACTTGACATCTATCTTATCTTTAGCTCTCTTAATATAAAGGGAGAAGTGTAAGCAGTAACGGTGCCGTTTTCAGTTCTGTCGAATGAGGGAGATCCAGCCACCAACTCGATCGTCCCAGCCAATATCCTCATTCCATCTTCGCGGTCCGATTGCATTCGACGACAACCATCAAACCACCACCCTTTCCTAGCTCCTGCATACAGTACAGTACAGTTAGAGTGATAGAGAGATATTATAGAAAAGCCATGGTGAAACTGTTGGAGCACATTGCCAATCGGAATTCAGAAAATGAAGAGTCCCTCCGAGGCCTGCGGAAACGTCGAGTCATTGCGTATCTCTTTGTCATGGTCGCATCCTTTATCTTGTTGGGGCAGGACTGGAAAAATCCGCTATTGACTGTCAATATGATAGAGAGTAGCAACCATACGCACTACAATGCTACTCATCACAACAATAACCACAGTTCCACCAGCAAGAACATCAACAAAAAAGCAACAAAAGAGACAGCAGCACCAAAAGAGACAGCACCGAAAGAGACAGCAACAACATCATCATTAAGAAAGACAAAGAATGAAACCATTCCTCCTCCACTTCCTGTAGATCCTCCTCCACTACCTCGCATTGCCTACATTGCCATGGGCCACTTGAACTCGACCGATCGGTGGGATGGATGTCTTCATCCCGCTACAGACTATTTTGTGCCATCGCCAGACCCCTACTATATTGTCATGAACGAACAATGGCGTGCCAAGTACGAACAACTGGTCGAAACCAACAGCACATTTCAAAACTATTCCAGTCGCATTCAACCCATCTACACCGAATGCATGCCCGAAACCAAAGGATGGCCGTCGTGTTGCAAACAAGATCAAGGATTGGCACATTTTTACAAGCACTACTATTTTGATGCTACCAATCAAAACAAAAAGTATGATTGGATCTGCTTTCAAGATGACGACGAATACATTCGCCATCGCGCCATGCAAGAATTCTTGCGCTATCTTCCCATCACCGACGAACCAATCGTGATTGCCTCTGATCCTCCCGAAGGACATCCACTGGGGAAAAGTGGATACATTCCCAAACAATCGCCGTACAAATGCCCTCGCGACAGTGACAATTGGAAATATCCATGGGGACAACCCGTCTTTTATAATCAAGCCGCGTTTGAATTGCTAATGCCAGCCTGGAAGGCAGGCGCCATGACGAAACAATGCAAGGAATTTGACTTGTATGCACACGACACCGGCAATGCGCTGCTTCATTGGATGTTTGGGATACCTGCCTTGTGGATGCGAAATCCCGCCAGTATCAAATCCGGAATGCGCAATGACTTTTTGGGAATGCATTCTGTATCCCGATTTGGACCACAATCGTCCATGAAAGCCGTGCACGAACGATACCAGAAAATGTCGTATCCCTACAATAATGAACTGCGACCACAGTACCTGTGGTCCTCCAATGCGACCGGTTTCAATCAAACCAAAACCTATCAATTATACGGTCATCCATCTACTTGGGGGGAGTCGTGGCATATCTTTCCCACGTCCGATTGTCAAAAGAGTTTTGAGTAGTAGTTTATGGTTTTGGGAAAACACATAACAGGATGATGATTCATTGATGCTAACAATTGAGTTGGACGAGCGTTTGTTCATCCATGCTCGCATCACATTGTGTGTCATCTGACAAGGCTCGAATTGATCAACTGAGTGGACGGTGACATTGAGGATCCGAGGGACGAACTAGGGAAACTGCTCCATCGAACAATGAAGGCAACGACTGCACTAAACCTCATAGAGGCAGCAGTCCAGGTGCCTAATGACAGTTAGCTAGTTGCTACAGTGGTTGTTAATAAAAGCATACAAGAAATCAATGACTATTATATGGCTATTGCCGTCTACAGCTATAGATTTTGGCATCATCATTTCTTCCAATGGTCACAATGCAACTGGACACAGAGGATTGTCAAGGTACAATGTGCAAAGAGAAAAAGATGATGCCAACATTCATACATTGCATCCAGCATGTCATCAAAGGCTTTCAAAGCAACACAAATGACTCGGTCGATCGTGATAGCAGCCCTGCAAGTTCGATGCACCAGCAGAAGTCAAGAAACTTTTCAATGCACTTCATATTGGTTATCCATTTTTGGTCCCAACGAAAAGAATGATCGTAGACACACAGACTCCACTTGATGATTTGAAAAAGGACCTGGACGGAATGGAAGGCATGCAGGCGGTGAACGGTCACAGGAACAAGCCAAGTCCACGAGAGACAAGCATCTCGACTCAAAGACATATAGCCATAGGAGGAAGTTACGCCCGGAGTGTTGGCTCAAAGCCTGCAACCAACTGAAAAATCTGTGTACAGGCAACGACCTGGACCAGTTTGTGTTGCTGCTTCAATCCAAGCTCGCAGCTCATGGCGACTCGTACGAGGCGGCTGCAAAGGGAGAGGCCATGGCGGACGCAACTGCCTCAAACATGCTGCTACCGCTACTCTTTCAAGCCTTTTGTGGGACCCATTGGCATTGTTGCTCTGAAGCCGGGCTTTGGTGAACAGCAGAATGGCAAGGACTCCAAGGGCAAGCGAAAGCAGCCATGCAGCAGCAGTGGCATGGTCGGGTATGGTCTTGACTCATGGCAGCTCGGAGAGTCGAGTCTTGCAATAGGAACATGCGACCCAATGACATGGCGTCGGTACGGACACAACCCTCGAACGACCCAGTTGTTTGCCTGGCTTGATATGGCTGTGGCAAAGTAGGGCTACTTGCGTCAATGATGACTCCGTGTTATTATCGAGCTTGTTTTTTTAACATTTCGCACCAAACTCGACAATGGGCATTCTGCCGCTGTTTCGACACTCTATCGACTTCATTCCTTCGAACTAACGTTTCAGTCGGTCACCTGTGTCTGTAGGTCGACTCCAGGTCGACTCCGGTGATGCTGGAAAGGCTCCGGATTGCGAAAAAATTTGCGGGATCGAATCGGCGGCGAACTTGTCGTTTTGCGGTAGCGTCGGATCGAATCGGCGACTTGTCGTGCTCATCACCCCATTATCTCCTTCTATTATCTCACTCCTCTTTAGTGGTAGCTGGCCGCCGGTGTAGTCTAGTGTCGGTTTGGAAGCCGTCGACGCTAACGACCAACGCTCCGTTTCGCCATGGTGTTGCTCTTTTCTCGGTTGGGTGTCAATGTAAAATGGCGAAAACAAGGAAAGGGGCTTTCACCGGCTCTTTCCAAGCGCTCGAATTCCGGACTGGACTCCCCCTTCTCTTCCAAACACACTTTTTTTAAACTTGTCCTAAATAAGCAAGAAGACTTTTAGAACGAGAGTCAAAAGCACCAACGAAAAAGTGAGAGAAGTCTTTAAATGAATAATGGCGCGGACACCTGTTCGAATGAGGACGATCCAGCCAATTCTATAGGCGACATCTCCCAGTCAGCCAAGATCCATCATCGGGTTCGACGACAACAACACCACCCCGCCACACCACACCAACACCTCATACCGCAGTTACTCAGCCATCATTCGAACGTTAGATACACTAGTAATAGAAAGCAATGGTCAAACTGTTGGAGCACATTGCCAACCGGAACTCCAACAATGAAGAGTCGCTCCAAGGCCTGCGGAAACGAAGAGTCATTGCATATCTCTCTCTAGTGATGGTCGCATCCTTTGTCTTGTTGGGGCAGTACTGGGAGACTCCTCTATTGACAGTCAATACGATAAAGAGTAATGGTAGTAGCAACCATACGCACCACAATGCCACTCATCACAACAGTAGCAACCACAATGCCACTCGCAAAAGTAACATCAAAGCAGCAACAATCACACCAGCACCAACATTTCCAAAGACAAAGAATGAAACCATTCCTCCTCCACTTCCTGTAGATCCTCCTCCACTACCTCGAATTGCATACATTGCCATGGGCCACTTGAACTCGACCGATCGGTGGGATGGATGTCTTCATCCCGCTACAGACTATTTTGTGCCATCGCCAGATCCCTACTATATTGTCATGAACGAACAATGGCGTGCCAAGTACGAACAACTCGTGGAAACCAACAGCACGTTTCAAAACTATTCCAGTCGCATTCAACCCATCTACACCGATTGCATGCCGGAAGCCAAAGGATGGCCGTCGTGTTGCAAACAAGATCAAGGATTGGCACATTTTTACAAGCACTACTATTCTGATGCTACCAATCAAAACAAAAAGTATGATTGGATCTGCTTTCAAGATGACGATGAATACATTCGCCATCGCGCCATGCAAGAATTCTTGCGCTATCTTCCCATCACCGATGAACCAATCGTGATTGCCTCCGATCCTCCCGAAGGACATCCCTTGGGGCAAAGTGGATATATTCCCAAACGATCGCCGTACAAATGCCCCCGCGACAGTGACAATTGGAAATATCCATGGGGACAACCCGTCTTTTATAATCAAGCGGCGTTTGAATTGCTCCTGCCCGCCTGGAAGGCAGGCGCCATGACGAAACAATGCAAGGAATTTGACTTGTATGCACACGATACCGGCAATGCCTTGCTTCATTGGATGTTTGGAATACCGGCGCTGTGGATGCGAAATCCCGCCAGTGTCAAATCCGGAATGCGCAATGACTTTTTGGGAATGCATTCCGTATCCCGATTTGGACCACAATCCTCCATGAAAGCCGTGCACGAAAAATACAGGGACAAAATGCCGTATCCCTACAACAATGACCTGAGACCACAGTACATGTGGTCCTCCAATGCGACCGGTTTCAACCAAACCAAAACGTATCAATTATATGGTCATCCATCCACATGGGGGGAGAATTGGCATATCTTTCCCACGTCCGATTGTCAACAGAGTTTTGAGTAGTAGTTTTTGGTTTTGGAGTATCATGGTCCTTGCAGAATCTAACAATTGAGGCATGCCAAACAAATTCAAAGAGCGTGCATTCATCCATGATCGCATCGCATCGTGTGCCATCATCTGACATCTGACAACGGAATGAAATCACAATCCGCTACACAAGAACCCGGCAGAAACTCGATCGTAGTTGGTGAAAACTCAGACCAGGGAGCCTCTTTGTGTCTATCTCTGACTGCGCTGCTCGAGCATTGGTTTGGCTTACAATTGTAATGGTCCTTGGTGCCGTGGCATCTCGTGGAGTCGAGTCGTTGAGGCATTCCAAAATCACCTTTGGAGCCTGAGGGATACATGTTGTTGATCTTCCTCTGTAGCCTTTCTGATATAAGTTTCTTTCTTGAAGCTAGCAAATTTCTCCACTGTAGTATAGTTTTAGTTAGTTGGTTAGTTAGATGAGTTTCATGAGCTGGAAGTGACATCTGGTGAAGAGTCGCTGCTGGGATAATGAAATCCTAGCTCTAGTAGGTAGCTCACAAGCACTCGATATCCGGTACCGTTAGGATCGTTGGTCGAATGATCAATATCCAGAGTTATAGAAGCTGCCGTCTATCCCTGCATGCCCCTGTGAGACGCCTCGTGCCGCTTTGCTACCGTTCGCTTGGGCTCGAATTGATGAGCTGCTTGCGTGCGTGGACAGAGACATCAAACTGTACGGCAACCGCTCCGTCGAACAATGAAGCAACTACTAAACCTCATAGAGGCGGTCCAGGTACCTAATGCTACATGTAGTTACCTAGATGTTCCAGTGGCCGCTATGAAGAAGAAGAAATCAATGACTATTATACCGATACATGTGACCTGGCAATATTGAAGGGCACGATGCATCTCGGCACAGGGGTTTGTCAAGGCACCAGGTGCAGACAAAAACAGGATGCTAACATCCATGGGAAGAAGACTTTTGGGGTGAAGCTTGCAAGCATCACAGCGCCTTTTGATTGCTCAGCTTATTGAAGCTGCGTAGTGAGGAGGCGCTGCGAACTACGCGATCAAGACACACCAGCCAAGAGTTCAACAATTCCAGTCGTCTCGATCTTGAACACAATCATCCGAGGCGACCATAGGACTGGTCTCGAGGACCTTTGCAACGGTCAGTTTCAGTGCAAGGCGGAGAAGTCGGCTTGAGGCAATCTGAGCACAGGGGTTGCAAGGAGAGAAAAACATGAAGCGAACACATTGTCGAACAGTCCACACATGCGTGGGAAGCAAATCCCCCAACAAGGTCAGTCTCGTTGCCAAATCAGAACTTGTTTTGGCAATGATTGAGCTTGCTGTGAGAAGCGCAGCAGCTGAAAAAGTCTGTATCCCACACAAGCAGTATTGCTATGGCGTCATGCTGCTGCAACTGTCGCTCTGGGCAACCTTCCACGGAGAGCTCGTCATTGAACTGACCAGCGGAGATTCGGCGGACAGGCAAACGACAAGGACTCCAAGGGCTAGCAAAAGCAGCATGCAGCAGCATGGTGTACATCAGACCAAGACATCCCAGCCAAGGCCAACCACACAGGGCAATCCAACAGGAAGCAGGCTTCATCGCAAGGTCAGCTTCATTGCCAAATCAGAACTTGTTGGCAATGCTTTGAGCTTTGATGGGCAACGACATGGACGACCAGCTTCACTGCAACGATCAGTGGCGACGATGTCATAGAGATGGAAAGTTGCCAAAGCGCCTGCCAGGAAGGCAATTGTTCAAATCATGTGGGCTCAAGCAGCGATCATGGCCAAGACTTGCCATTTGCCATGGTCGTTGACAGCAACAAGAACAGATCCCTTCTTGGTGGCAAGATGGCAACATTCCGGACCAAAATGGCTCGAGGCAATCCAATCCACACGGGCATTTCAAACAAGAAGCAGACATTCATACTCTATCCGGGTCAGTTTCATTGGCAACTCAGAACTTGTTGGCAAGGAATTCGACACCCACGAGATAAGCCAGCAACCAGCTGAAAAACCAGTGTTGACACAACTGAGATAATCCAACAAAGACATCCACGGCTGCTTGATGGGGCTGAATGGCGGATATGGGGCTGCAAGGGTAATCCCACCAGACCAACTCAGAGAAGGTGGACTGCAAAATTACCAGAAGCCTGAGATCTAGCATAACAGCCCCAAGCAAATGAAGAAGTCCCATGTCATGAGAAACTTCTTGTGCGGGCAATGACTTCAAGTCCAAGCCAATTGAATCAGGCTGAACGGCGGAAAAAGCCCAAACTGTAATCCAGTAGACCCACTCAGACGAGGGGGGCCACCGGTACAGGGAAACAAGCAGCACTAGATCCCACTTGTCTGCACTCTTTTGAGAGTGTGTGAGTGGACATTGCTTCTTCGTGGCGTCAAATCCATCCATTCGCCCATGACCTAGCCAGCGCAAGATCGGTGGGCAGTGAAAGGACGAAGGTGAACTTGCCGCTGCGAATAATAGTATCTGTTCCGTCTTCTTCAATCCAAGCTCGTAAAGCTCATGATCACTCGCGACACAGCCGACCTCATGCAGTACAGATTACAAAGCTGGGCGGCATAGAGACAGGATGGAGCAAGTGATCAGAAGCAGGGCTTGGCTTGGGCAGCAAGTTGGAGGCATTGCCGAGAAGCCAAGAAGTCGTCGACAGAGGCAAGCACAAAAGACTTCCACGCTGCATGATGGGGCTGAATGGCAGATCTAAACTCTAAAGGGTAGTTCCACAGTCCAAGTGAGAGGAGCTGGACTGCAAAAATACCATGAAGCAAGAGATCTAGCATGACAGCCCCACGCAAGCGAAGAAGTCCCTTGTCACAACTCGGCTTGTACGGGCAATGGCTTCAAGTCCAAGCCAAATGAGGCTGAAGGGCGGAAAAAAGCAGAGACGTGGTTGGTACCCGATCGATAGCAAAGGACGACCACCAGAATCCTAAACACACGGCGCCTGCTTATCTCATCAAATGGGGACCACATCCACATCGATGGGCACACGGTGGCAATGGCGAACTATCGCCACTGTCGCCAAGTGCAGCCAATGCATGTGTTCCTCTGTGAGACAGGTGAGCGCCGTGGTGCGAGATCGTCACTCCAATCAATTCTTCCACGACCAAGATATCTTCCCATGGCACCGACGACAAAACCTCTAAGCTCTGCGTCGTCAATAGTCAAAATTGCCGTTGCCGTAGAGAGCCAGAGGTCGCATCCATGCCATCCGAAAGGTGTCACGGTCACAGCAAAACCAACAAGAGCCTGACTGCAGCGGCGACAATGGCCAAAGTTGCCATTGTCGTCGAGAGGCGGGCGTGTTGATCTCTCTGTGGTCCGTGTCTTTTGTCTCGTCTCAACCGCACGATGGTCATCCAGAACATTGCGTCGCAAGCACAGGGACGATGATAAAAAGGCGTCATCCAAGGCTGGCGAGCACAATTTCACTGGAAGGCCATTGAGGATGGTGGCCATGGCCAGTCTTGTTCGGACTTGGAGTTTTGCAATGGATGGCCACAAATCACATGCGTCGCGAGCGAACGACGACACTAACGCGTCAATTTCTTCCCAGCGCAGGACTCGGTAACAAATCGACCTTCGTGTCATCCAAGGCTGCGGCCATGGTTGGTCTTGTCTTGACGTGCGCCGATCGTACAAGGGGTCGCGACGGCTCAATCGCCTGATCCAGCAACCGGCTAGTGGGCTAATCCATCAATAGGGTCAGTTTCAGTGCCAGCGGATATGCGGCGACAGTGAAATGACACCGGCGACACGAGCCCAGCAACCGGCCAGTGGACTCGACTCCACTGGGTGACCATGATCGGTCTTGTCTTGACGTTCGCCCGATCGCCCGATGGCCGCAACGGATCTAACTGCTCATAGTCCTTCCTCAGGCATCGCTTGTCATTGTCGCTGCACATCGGTAGCAACGATGGGCGGCAAAACGACAAGGAGACATCAAGGATGACAATCAGTAATTGGCCGCGGCGGCCATGGTCGATCTTTGGGTGGCAAACCGACGAAGCAAAGACAACGGGGCTGTTTAAAACGGCAGGTGCGGCCATGGTCGATCTTTTCTTGGAGTGTGCCGTCTTGCCATCGCGCAAACCGTCCGATCACAAGCCATTTGCATCCCAGGTCATTTCGCCACCACCCAGGTGAGAGCATCGACGGGTGGAGAAACGACGAGAAATGTCAAAGGAGCGGCGGCGGCGGCCACGGTCGAGGATTTTGGGTTGCCATTGGCCCTCTTCCGCCCCACCAAAAATAAATGGGAAGGGGGAGGGGGAAGTGGGCGTTTTGGATTTCTGGATCCACAAATTGTGAGAGATTGGGTTGTGTTTTGTTTTCGCTTCCAGGCCAGCCGCTGACACTCCACTCCGAGACAGAATTCAAAAAAGATACGGTCCGTAGGTCTCGAAAGATTTTTTTCCTTTTCGACTTCTAGCTAGTACGGTGTAGCTAGCTAGCTGAGGCTCTCAACTGCTTGAGCGGTGTTCTCGAATTGCTTGTTCGGCAACTGTGAATTGAATCGACCCGAAAAGATAGATCCGCAACACGATCAAGAGGTCGTGAATATGTCAAATCCTTGTAGCTGATGCTCTGCTCCTACCGTACTGTAGCGGTACCGGTAGCCTCGGCCTTGTTGGGCTCGACAGTGCCGGTTCAAACTCGTAGGCTACGATGCAGTTGTCCTCAACGGCGACACTCGTTTCGACGGTGTGCAACTCAGTCTATCGTTACACGGTCTTGGGGACGGCGAAGTGCGGGTGCAAAGGTCTGATCGACCAGGGCCTAATAGCTAGCTACCGGTAGCCTGACACTGCTACTTCCGTTTTGGGCTACTGAGCCTCTATAAGCTTGAAAGATCCATTGTTGACTCTGGCTATAGGACAACGTAGGCCCAGCTAGCTAAGTTCACGAGCGCGCACCGGCACGAGCTTTCGTATTGTAGGAAGGAACAGAGCTGCAGCAGTCCCCAGTGAATATCAGGCTGTTAAATTTTGCAATGGACTCTCTATAGCTAGCTATAGCGACTACCAGGGGGGGGGGGGCTCTCTCCTGGGTCAACTTGCAGCAGCTACAAGGTTACAGAGTTTGAACCGTGGCCACTTTCACAGAAGAACAGCAGTGCATATTTGGATATCATATCATAGTTTTAGTGCTCAGGTATCATGACCAGTGTCGTGCGAGTTGGCATTACAAGCAGTGCAACCACAACCACATAACCGGCTGGAGCAGTCAAACTGGAAACCACCACTTCCTATGCAGGGCACAACGGGGTTGGGCAAGCAAGTACCATTGAGGCTGCAAACTTCATCTGGAATTGTTCCAGACAAGAGCTCATTCCCTGCCACATTGAGAGTGTACAGAGACTGTTGGAGGCTGGAAAGTTCATCTGGTAGAGTCCCACTGAGGGAGTTGCTGCCAAGGTCGAGTCTGCCCATGGAGGATAGGAGTCCAAACTCGCTAGGGATATTTCCGGAAAAGTGGTTGTCAAACAGAGAGAGTTCATACAGAGAACCAAGATTGGAGAGCTCGGTAGGGATGGACCCGGACAACTGGTTCTCTTGCAAGTTCAAGGCTCTTGACAAGGTGGCCAAAAGCCCAAGCTCGGATGGGAGGGTTCCGGTAAATAGATTGTCACGAAAAGACAGAAGTGAAGAAGCAGTGAGAAGGCCCAACTCAGTGGGTAGTGCTCCCTCTAGATGGTTTTTGTAGACAGAGATCAATGACATTTTGGGAGGCCTGGCTAGCTCGGTTGGAAGTGTCCCTGTCAACCTGTTGCCACCCACCGCAATCACCTCCAATGACTCGACTTGGCCCACCTCAGAAGGGATGGTGCCTATCACCCAAAGAAGAGCAAGGAATTTCATTAGACATGTCATGTCAATCATCCAGTTGCAAGCATCCCATCACATTTGTGCTTTCTAGACTTACCGGTAAGATCCGAATCCTCAAAATTGATCCACCTGAGCTTGCGAAAGGTGCCAAGTACTGAGGGGAGAGTTCCTCTGAGGTCGTGGTTGCGGCTCATGAGAATGGTTTCCAAATTAGTCAACTGCCAGATTTCACTTGGGATTGAACCCTGGTGGTTGTTGTCACTGAGGACCAGTGCCCTCAGTTTTTTCAATAGACCAAATTCTGTGGGAACGACTCCACCGTTTCGATGCTTAGCAAGTTCATAACCCTCAAGGTCTGTCAACTTTCCAATCTCAGTGGCAATTGTCCCTTGTAGTGAATTCACTCCATAGGATAGTGTCTTGAGATGAGTCAACATGTAGAGCTCTGGTGGGATGGAACCAGCCAGGTTGTTGAAGTCTAACCACAAATGCTCAAGCTGTCCGTTGTCATTGCAGGCTGTTGGTGGGTGTTCCATCTCATGGAGATACCCACGATAAATGTGACTTATAAGGTCCTTCATGGCAAAGGCTGGCCTCATGTACCAGTTACATTCATTGGTTGGTTCGGCCAACCAATTGTCATTGTGGGTCCAGAGATCTCCATCAGTGGCAAAGTACAGAGTGGCAAGGGCGTAGCGTTGCTGGATACGATCATCTTCGTACTGGGATACACGAGGGTCCTCCAGTACCCAATTGTAGGCTTTGGCTTGTGGAGAGTCTTTGTCCTGCTGAACATGACTTGCTGTGCTTTCTGGAAGAAGCATCAAGACGTGCTCCTTCAAGGGAAGCTCTTCAGGCAGAGCTTGGCCACTGTCGCCGAGGGGATCCGTTCGTTCGGGTGATGGGCTCTCCACGTTGTCATTCCCAACAAAGACGACTACCATAGTGATTGTCGCGACCAGCACCACTCCCATTACACATGCCAACCACGGCGGCAACGGCAAATGTCCCTCCTTGGAGCTCACAGACGACAAAGCTATGGTCTTATGTTCTTCTGGGTCATACTCTTCCGCCAGCGGCAGATCCCTCTCCTGTTCGGCAGATTCATCCACTGGATTGGCCACTGAGAGGCCCACATGGTTGGACGGGATCTCAACACTGGTTGCTGTTGTTTCTTCAGAGGTGGACTCGGAAGTTTGGCGGCGTCCTTGGCTGGCATGATGGATGGTAAGACCTGGTTTGTTGGCCATTCTCAGTTCCGCTCCCAGCACATTTATTGGTGTCTTTCCAGCCGGCGTCAGGTGTCCATTGTGGGAATTGGTAAAGAAGGCTCCCGGTCCAACGCCTTGTCTTTGTTGTCGTCGTGATAATTGCACACCACGGGACAGGGAGGGACCTGCTGGCAATGGTTCGATGCTGGCAATGCTACTAGCCACGAACGATTCCGACGGATGATCACACGACGGAGCTTCCTCTGCGAGCTGTTGTTGTTGGGTTTTGAGGGCCTCTGCAATTCCCATGTTTTCGCAAAGACAATTGTCATCTTTGATCGACGCATTCGCATCTGTCTCCTCTTCACTGGAGACAGTAGTCTTCAACTGTGTTTTCTCTATCGTATTATTGTCTTCCTTGCCCATGCTTAGTTATTCCAGTGGTTCTTTTGGATACATGTACCGTACAAACAACAACAGCTCAACAACTACATGTACAATGAGCTCTACAATGATCCTGGTAACTCTTTTGAGGGAGGAAGGAGGTCCAGTGCTAACAGCCAGCTATTTTCAAAACTCCAATCGCGCTTCCTTCCACCCCTTTGTTGTTTCAGTGGATGGCATGCTTGCCCCTCAAGCCAAGACTCTCTTACAACGCCTTGCTTCTGCTACTGCCTCCAAAACTCAATTTTCCTACTCTCAAATGATGTTCTTCATGCAGACCCGTATCTCAATTGCCCTTGTGAAAGCTACCCATTTATGTCTCCGTGGATCCCGCAAAGCCAAACCCTTTGCCCCCCGTAATGGTCCTCAATTTCTTGCCCCTGATCCCACAGAACCTAGTCCTGAATTTCGACTGTTCTTTGCTTAAGCCTGGCCCCGGCTGGCTTCCGTAGCTAATTTCTCTACTCTAAAACCCCCCTATATAACTAAAATAGTACATGTAGTGGTACTGGTACCGGTACCGGTAGAAGACAAAAATGGTGGGGGTTGGGTTGGAGGAGCTGTTGGAGGTTGGAGGTCACCCAAAAAAGAGCCAACAAGGAACAAGGCTCTTCACCGCTCACAGAGGAGTTCTGAGTAGTGGTACTGAGTAGCAGTAGCTGTAGTAGCTCTGTAGCTTTAGACAGCTCTATCCTCTATCCGGACACACGCCATGCGTACCAGCTAGCAGGGTGACAGGGGAATTACTAGGGTGGCACTCCGGCGCAGGTCAAGGCACAGCACTGAAGGTTCCTATGGAGGCTTTGTAACTAAACCCTGCTCGCGTCCTCATTGCTCTCCCCGTATGCCCACCACACCAGCCACCCACCACCGCAGCCACTGCTTTGCCTAGCCTCGCCCCCCTCGCTCCTTAACGTATCTATTTAGTATTTCTCTATGGCTGGGACCAAGCCTATCCTCAAGAAGATTGTCTGTGCCAATCCTATCTATGATTGGCTTATCTAAGCTAAGTTGGGCTTATCTAAGCCAAGCTATGCTTATCTTAGCTAAGCTACAGGGACGAAAAGTACTAAATTGTGTATAGTAAATTGTATGTGTGGACTAGCTTAGACTAGATTAGCACAGACAAGCTTAGCGTAGCTTTGAGTAGCTTGGCTTAGATAAGCCTTGATAAGCCCATTGTTGACACGGCTGCCTTGCCATAGTCGTCAGCTACAACCAGAGATTGACTATCGCCAATGTGAAGGTTGGGGCTTACTGAGTACCGTGCATAATAAGCTCGTAAGAGCAGTTGCCTGACAGCCTGACAGCTGACAGCAGGAATGCAGCCATGATAATAATATTTTAAGAATAGTTGGCCATTGACGAGTTCCAGTCGCAGCTTCTGCCGGACTATTGGCGAAAGCCCTTTCACTATAGTCTACCAGCAGCCTCATTTGTTTTCAAAGACAATTCGCAAAACTCGATGACCGTACATTGAATACCGGTATTGACAGTGTGGCTAGCTAGTGCATGCATGCATAGCCTCGGGCTCGGGCTCGGCAGGACATACTTTTGGCTACGTATGGTGCAGAATTCCTCAACGCTCAGCGCGATGCTCCGTACTCGGTCTTGGGGACGACGATGTCGGGCTCAACTCTGATCGACCAGGGCCCTGATACATCTATATCCGGTAGTCGTTTTGGACTACTGGGCCAGAAGTTCTCAGATTGATTGATTGTTTTGTAGATTCTAGTTAGGACAATGGGGGCCCAACTCAGTTTGGCCGACCGTACCAATACGAGCCTTTGCATTGTAGCTTGAGCTTTAACCCAAACGATTTCGACTGATCGAGCAGCAACTTCTAAAACCAAGAGATAGCCAAGCAAAGTGGTACCGGAACTCCGTGAGCGCAATGTGTCTTCTTCGACTTTTGCATTCTGGTTCTTCAAATCTCGATTCTCAGCCAGCGGAAAAGACTGTTGCAATACACGGCTCTTAGCCTTATTCGCGACTCGATCCTAGATAGGGTTTGAGTTCGACTCATGACTGAGTCTCTCGTGAATAGTCATCTGAGACAGGGTTCTCAATGACCGCGCTAGTCATACTAGGTTGATGATGAAACATCGCTTAGATATTTAGCCAGCCGTGGAATACTTCCACGGCTACTAGATCCAGGCTAGACAGACCTTCCACGCGTTCCGTTTTAGGATCGTGGAGAGACGTTGGATTACTACCGACAACCTACTCTATCACACTTTATAGTCTCCCGCGGGAAGCCAGATCTACGATCCCTTGATGATGATCTCCTCTCGTTGATTAGTTTTCAAGCTTTCTAATCTCTCTCATAACTTTCATTCTCCAAACTCAAAACACTCGAAAGATCTTTACACTAGCTTTTAGCGTAGTGCATTTTGTTAACAAACACAATAGCTTTCAGCTACCCTCAACCTATTCCTTCACCATGAAGATGGCTAAGGAAAGCATCGTTCCGCAACTTTGAGGAAAACTCTAGTGCGGACAAACCCTTCCTCTCGTCGACAATGACGAAGAAAACGAGATCGACAGATACTCGTGCCACCACTTGCAAACTTCGCAACCATGTTGCCAAGCGCAAATCAGAAGACTCTGACAATGAGGACAACTCCTTTATCAATTTCAATCACTTGATGGAGAAATCTCTATCTGAGGATTAGGCCAGGATGATGACTCAAACGAAACCCTGTTCCGATTTCTCATACCAAAGTGATGAAGATATCTCACTAACTAGTAAACAAGAATGTTTGCAACTGATGAACTCTACGGCAAATTAAGATGATTGACTAAAAGCTGCTCAACTAGACTCTGATGATCTATTTAGCATCGTTAACCTCGTCCGTGGCCAACCACCTCGTAAACGTCGCAAGACACGAGACTCAAACCCATCGTTATGTTGAATTTAACAAGCGAGAAAAGGGAAACCAAAAACCGGTTACACTCCGTTGCTTGCTGGATACAGGAGCATCCGGAACCTTGATTGCTCAACCTCATGCTAAGAAATTACGCATGAAGGATCTTGGGGCGTCAAAACGATGTGGACTACCTGTTATTTGCTAGTAATACTGCAGCTTTATTGGGGAGTAATTGTGTTTTAGATTAAGCTGAAAAGCAAAGAGTGAGGATTTTCTGTGGTGATAGCAATTCTTGTGATTGGATTGGATATAAGGACCCCGCAACACTTTAGACCTAAAACTCCTTGGTTCCTTGCATGATAATTTGCATAGCGAAACGGACTAGATATTTAATACAACGAGTCAATATTAAAGAGGGTCAGGTATGTTTCGTCCAACACACTCCTGCACGGTACCCTATAAGTGGCTACCGTGGATACGAATAAATAATTTAGGACAATCAACAAGGGGTGGATGCCCCATGATGAAAGCCCTGTGTCTCGTGAAAGAGCTTGCCCTGAAGGGGCTTCGAAAAAATCTCCACGCATTTCCAAGGTTGGGCAGTAACACAACTCTAAGGTTGCCTTTTCCAATTTGGTCATGAATAAAAAGAAACGAATGTTGATAGCCGGAGTTCTTTTCCCGAAATGCCTTTGCCATTCTCTGCAAGAAGATCGTGCTTTTGTTGTCCTGCATGAGGATAGTTGTCTTTTCACAACGATCCCTGCTCTTCAAGGAACAACTTTGCCCCCAACAGGGCGACATGACATCGTCAGCCTCCACATCATTCCGCTTCGTGCTGCTCCTCGAATTCATTTTCTGTTTCGCAGACACAAGACAGCACCGCACCACTTCAAAGGACAGAACTCCTCCTGTTGGGAAAGGTAATCAGGATGACTGCAAATGATGCGTCCACCCACCAAGTGATGATTGGTATGTCATCATGTGTTGTAGGATCAACTTGTCCTGCGCTCGTCTGATCCAAAAACTTGAGGTCTTGGACCAACTTGTCCCAGTCATCAGATGATGGTTTCTGACACGAGTGCATAACACAGTAGTGAGAGTCTGCACATCTGATCGAGCACGCTTGCACAGGAACAACAGCTTGGCTGCAAAGGTATGAATAGTTTTCTCTGTTTCTTGTCCATTCAGGATGGTGGCCATCACCAAGAGCTGAATAGGTTACAGACGCAGACCTGCACTTGGTACCTATTTTCCATTGACTCACCCACCAAGATCCACGATGAAACTCTGAGATCATTTTTCTGTGACATAATCTATCTATGTCAATCACAACCTTTACTGGGTCGGAAAAATCACATCGTCATCCCCAAGTAGTCGTGCTTGGGGAACCACGGGTTGCCTTCACGCTCCATAGGTTCCATACCTTAGCGTTAAACCATTCCAGAGTTTGGTTGTTCACCACCTTCATTCTGTGGCTTTGAAATTAGGTCGTCAACATGAAAATCGGATTGTTTGTTGGTACCCTCGACATGCGGTTGGCCACACAAGGATCGTATCTGTGTTAACACAAATCCAATTTCTTCGAGTCGCTCCTGAAGAGCTTATTGTACCATAGCAGTGCTGCCAAAAAACCATTCCGTAGATGGTCTCTTTCCACACGACATAGGAGGACTGGTCGTCCCTTCTTGTATGTCAGGAAAGAGGCATATGTGTCAGAGATCAATTTCGACAAAGTAAGTACTGCAAGTTTCCCTCAATGATCATGGAGGACCCTGTCTTCACCTTGTTTGACTTCTGGCATTGGGGTTTTGGATGAAGCATTGGGACATCCAGGACCATCACATCCACTATCTTCGATGCATCGACAAACATGGATAACATCAAACCTATCAAGTGAAACTGTAGGACTTCTGGCATCTTCTTTCTGGTGGTACACCCTTGTAGGTTTCCCATGTTAGACTGCACGGCCTTGACGTGCCATCCTTTTCTCACTCACAAACATGTGTGCCATTTGTGCCTTTTTCAATCAGAATCACTGCATTTGTTTGGGTCAACTGGACTAAACCACACTCTGCTGTGTAGCTGGTCTCATCTATTCTTTGAGCGCCG